TTGAGCCATTTCTGCAACCAAATGGCTAGTTCTCCCTGTATTCTATGTGATCTAACCAGTCTACCATACAGAACCTTGTCAAACACCTTACTGAAGTCCACATAGATCACATCCACTGCTCTGCCCTCAATACCCTTTGTTACTTCTTAAAGAAGTAGTTAGACAATTTTCCATCCACAAAGCCATGTTGACTATCAAGTCAGTCCTTGCCTTTCCAAAGGAATACAAAATCCTGTCCCTCAGGATTCCCTCCAACAGTTATGTCAGGCTCACTGGTCTATAGTTCCCTGGCTTTTCTTTACCACCTTTCTTAGATAGTGGCACCATGTTAGCCAACCACCAGTTTTCTGGTACCTCACTTGTGGCAATTGATGATACAAATATCTCTGCAAGGGGCTTAGCACTCACTTCCCTAGCTTCCCAGAGTTCTAGGGTGCACCTGGTTAGGTCCCAGGGATTTATCCATCTGTGTTTCAAGCCATCCAGCACCACTTCCTCTGAAATAGAGATTTTAAGATGTTGCTATTATTTCCCCACATTATCTATCTTCCATATCCTTCCCCACAGTAAACATTGATGCAAAATACTCATTCGTTATCTCCTCCAGCTCCTGTGGTTCCACACATAGGTGGCCTTGCTGATCTTAAGGGGCCCTATTCTCTCCCTAGTTACCCTCATGTCCTTAATGTATTTGTAGAATCCTATCTATACCTGACGTATGCTTCCTTTTTCTTGGCCAAAACCTTAATTTCTCTAGTTGTTCAGCATTCCCTACACCTACCAGCCTTGCCCTTCACCCAAACAGGAATTATTCAATGTATTATCCAAATGTCTTTTAAACATCTGTTTGTGGTGAATGTGGGTACAGTTACATTCACCTCATGATTTTATAAATCTCTTTGTAATCTTGTATAACCTTAGTTGTCCACCAGATAGTAAATAATTGATACCTCAAGACTGATCCAGTGGCAAAAATGGTGCTCTAACCTAAAGACCCATTAACTATGGGTATTTACTATGCCTTAGCCAACACACAAGGCATTCGAATACCTTACCCTCATACTGTGAGCACCTATCTTGTCCAATAAGCTTAGGCGGCACCTTATCAAAAGGTCTTCTGGAAACCCCAATACACATCTACCAGTTCCCCTTCATCCACTCTGAATTAAGCTTTCCTAAGTGTCCTGGAGTTCGTTTTCTAACAGATCAGAATCTAGGCATTAGCACTGCAGGCTGCCTGAAAAAACAAAAAACAAACAAGGATCAAATCCCCAATAAGATTTTTTTTAAAAATCCACCCCCCTCACTGTCCACAGACCATTTGCACACTAAACAAAAGCCTAGATTGTTCTGAAGTGTAGACACTATGCTCTAAACTTGAAATACACACATTACCTTCTGCTTCTAAATCAGATCAGCAGCACTATCCAGCTCCTGAATAAAAAAGGCACAACAGCTCAAAATTAGAGAAGTCACCCAACTGGTTTCTATCTACCTAGATGTGATAGAACCACCCTCCCAAAGAGTCAGGGGGCTGAATCCAAAGCTCTAATTAAGCATTCAATTTCACAAGAGCCTACACTAATCAGACAGTGGCTGGCTTGGTTAATGTATTTGCACTTATCTATAAGTGTCAAGTCTGCTAGCCTCGAGCTCCTAATCAATCTTAGGATAGTAAACTTTTCGTAGAACACAGTTTTAATTTGAAAACCAACATTATCCATGCATATTTTTCCAGAAAGGTCTTAAGTGACAATAAATGCAAGTTTGAGGAAAAAGCCAAAAAACACAAAGATGCACACTGCACAGGCTCAGCCAAGTCCAATTTTAGCATAGTTTGGAGATATCACCCACCATAAAGAAAATAAAAGCCAAAAAAATTCAAATAAACAGTAGGGATATAACAATGAAACTGTACAAGACAGTGCAGAGGCCACAACTGGAGTATTGTGCACAATTCAGGTCACCACGTTACAGGAAGGACATCACTGCACTGGACAGAGTGCAGAGAAGATTTACTAGAATGTTGCCAGAGCTGGAGAATTGTAGCTGAAGGAAGACTGGAGAGGTTGGGATTGCTTTCCTTAGAAAGGAGAAGGCTGAGGGGATGATATGATTAAGGTATACAAAATTGTGAAGGGTACGGATAGAGAAAAAGTAGACAGGAGGAACCAATTTCCTTTAGTGGGGAGCTCAAAAACTAGACATCAGGCTCAAGCTAAGTGACAGGAGGAATATGTTGGACGTGAGAAAGTTAAAACAGGGTGATGGGGTTTCTGAAAGTCACTGCCTGTGCTGGTGGAGGCAGAGACCCTAAAAGCTTTAAGGTGCAGATCTAGGTACTACTTTTAAGTGATGTAAACTGCAGACCATATGCAAGAAGATGGGATTAGAAAAGGGCATTTGGGTGTCTTCACATCAGCATGGACAAGATGGACCAAATGCCCCCTTATGTGCTGTATCATTTCTATGGTTCTACCATGCTGTGACATTATACTTTACACATTCTGCTTCCTAGACTTCAGGACTAATAAAGAGAAAGGATAATTGTACACCACCAACCCCTACCCCAAACAGTTTGTCATCAAGTTTGCAATTTAACCAAGATTGATTGGTTGAAATAAAAACCTTTAGAAAGTATAACTCAGGTCATGCACACAAGCAGCAATCATTGCAGGCCATCAGATCATGCCCTGTGTGCAGGAAACAGTTTAATCCCACAATGCCCCTCACCCACCCATTCTCTCTCTTCTGGAGAGAGAGTCAAGCCTCTTGACTTTGATGCAAAACCCACACTCCTGCCAGGGACTGCACCTCCCAGTCTGAAGAAAATCAAACTTCAACTCTTCATCCTACGATCACTTCCCCAATTCATTTCAAAATCTTGCCTCCTTGAACAGGTGCTACAACATCCACTTGAGATTCCACTGCTCCCAACAGGATTTGCAATACAACTTACTAAAGCCCTCCCATGTGTATTTAGTGATGCTTACACTAATCTTTGGCAGATGTGTGCAACCCTACACAACTACTCTTGAATACGGTTCAAACAAACAAACAAACACAAACTGAAAATAAAAGCAGAGAGATCACAAGTGAAAGATTCAAGTAACAGGTGCACAAACCATGGTATCCAATGTTTATTGATCAAACAGTTTGGACCTGCATTCCTTAAACCTTCATTAGATGGCAAATTGCAGTGATCTATTTCATCACATGGGCAACTCCACCCAGTCTAAAATGTGGTGCACTGTTTTGGAAATGGGATAAGTTATCAGGCAAAGAATTTAGCCTTGTATGCAAAAACATGTCACTTCTTTCCCATTGACTGGAATGATTTCCATCATGCTCAGTACAAATTTAAGATGTGCTCACAATATGACTATCATAGCACGTGAACCAAGGGTACAACAACTCCTTTTATTTACCTCAGATCATTAGGCACGATGGAGGGAAGGTGATTCACAAAGCAGCTGAAGATGGTTGCGCCAAGGACACTATCCTAAGGAACTCTTGTCAAGATGTCCTGGAGCTGACCAACAACCACGACCATCTTCTTGCGTGCCAGGTATGACTCCAACTAGCAGAGAGTTTGCACCCTGATAGTCATTAATTCTAATTTTGTTAGGGTTCTTGATGCCATACTCAATCAAACACAGTCTTGATGTCAAAGGCTGTCACTCCGACCTAGTGGCCGGAGTCTAAACTTTAAGATCTTTAAAGAAATCACATCGTTCAGAGTCAACTCTGTACTGTAGGAGGAAGCTTCCTCGAGTTGCTCTTGAGCGTGAACGCCCCAGCTTGCAGAGTGCATACACACACACGCACAAGGAAAGGCGTAGTACTAGCCAGTGCCCAGCAACAAGCAGCAATGAGCATGAACTAACTTGCGCAAGAAAAAAAAGACTTTACCGCATCTTAAAAATCCCAGCGCAAAATGAAAGTGTAAACTGTTAAGAGATACAGTAGGAGCACCCAGTAAACAGGACTATCGTTAAAGTCTCAGTGCAGAAGTATCAAGACGGCTAGCACTTGCGAGGGGCGACAGGCATTTCTTAATTTCATGAAGTCTTTGTATTTGTATTTTAAGACTTACAAAAAAAAGTGACTCATCACTAAGTGAGAGACGATTTTTTTTGAAGAAAAAAAAACAAGTCTAAGAACACCCACAAGCGAATTACAAAGGGAATGGCGGACAGCGAAAGGGTTAGGAAAGGACGCGGAGGGAGCGAGGGTCGCAGAGACGGGAACGGGAACAACTGTCTTCCGGGAGTGCCTCTCAGATCAGGCCACGATCGGCCCGTTCACTCGACGGCCTCGAAGCCGAGGGACTGCATGTGGGAAAAGAGATTAGCACGACCGCTGAGCCGACCTATACTGTTCCCTAATTCGGCTCGGGCTAAAAAGACGATTTAAAACAGTACTTTCGTTTCCCTCTCTTCCCTTAACCCCAGCATACTCACTCACCTTCC